TGTATCTTTCTGAATTAGTGTTTTCCTGTTCTTCAGATGTATGCTGAAGGAGTGGAACTGGATCATATGGTAGTTATGTTTTTAGTTTTCGAGGAACCTCCATACTATTTTCCACAGTGGCTGCACCAACTTACATTCCCACCAACAGTGTAGGAGGGCTCCCTATTCTCCACACCCTTGCAGATAACACTTGTTTTTTGCAGTCTCTTTGACGATGGCCACTCTGACAGCTGTGAGGTGATAACTCACTGTGGTTTTGATTTGCATTTCTCTGATGATCAGTGACATTGAGCATCTTCTCATGTGCCTGTTGGTCATCTGTATGTCTTCTCTATGACATTTTTCACAGAACTAGAACAAGTAATCCTAAAATTTATATGGAACCACAAAAGACTCTGAATAGCCAAAGCAATCTTGAGAGGAAAGAACAAAGCTGGAGGGGTCGCAATCCCCTATTTCAGATTATGCTGCAAAACTACAGTCATCAAAATCGTCTGGTATCGGCACAAAAACAGACACACAGATCAATGGAACAGAAAAGAGAGCTCAGAAACAAACCCACGCACTTGCGGCCAATCAAACCACGACAAAGGGGGCAAGAACATACGCTGGGGAAAGACAGTCTCTTCAACACCTGGTGCTGGGAGCACTGGACAGCGACCTGAAGAAGGATGAGCTTAGAAGATTCTCTAACACCATACACAAAAATAAACTCAAAATGGAGAAATGATCTAAATGTAAGACCGGGAATGATAAAACTAGAAGAGAATATAGGTGGAACACTCTTTGACATAAATCGGTGGCAACACTTTTTCTGAATCTGTCTCTTAAGGCAAAGGAAACAAAAGCAAGAATAAACAACTGGGACCTAAGTAAGCTTAAAAGGTTTTGCATAGCAAAGGAAACCATCAACAAAATGAAAAGACAGTATATTGAAAGGGAGAAAATATTTGCATATGATATGACAAGTAGGGGGTTAATACCTACAGTGTATAAACAGCCCACACAACTCAGTATCAGAAAACCACAAACAACCCAGTTAAAAAAGGGCAGAAGAGCTGAACAGACATTCTTCCAAAGTTTCTGATTTTTAAATTTCAGTTTTCAGTCCTAACTCAATAATTGCAACTTTAGTAAGTAACTTTCAGATCTTTTTTGAAGCATGCAAAGTGAAGAATGTCCAGGTTTAAAAGTCCAAAGACCATGCGTGTAAACGCACTTGGAGGCTGAAGTACCACATGTATAGAGTGACTACTCTCGTTAACTGAGCAGCCGAGAATGAGCCATTTAAATATCGTAGGTTTCAAAAACAAACCTTTAAAGGTGAGGTGATGAAGCCATCTTCTCCAGCACTCATAATACAAGTCCTTCTGTTTCATAGAAATCTACTTTCTATCTTTACCAAGTTTGGAGACTCAGTCATATAAAATGCCAAGTGTTTCACAAGGCAAGTTTGATTTTTATTACAGATAATTACAGGTCATTCAGGAAAACAATAGGGCAACTGAAAAAAACTGATTAAAGTTGTGCTTTTTAAAAAATGCAATGATACACCTTTGAAATATTCATTTCCTCTATATTGCCTATTCTGCAGAACAAATGTGTGTGGACAGCCAAATCAATTTTGTGCATCAAGTCAAATTTTTCTACAAAACACAGTTTACATAGTCAGAAATCACACGGTAAGAAAACCCAAACTTTTATCATTACCTGGAAAATTGTGGAGAAACCCACCACGTAGCTCTTTGAAAAAAGGTTTCCATGTTTAAAACTGTGTCATGTGCAAGAAAAGTCACTGGACAGTTCAGAAACAGCTAGACGGACCTGTGCTCTAACGGCTTACACGTAATCTCAAACAACTGCACGCAGTCTGACTTTTAAAATGTACAGACTTCATAAGCCAGGAAGAGAAAGAAAAATACCATATGATAGCACTCATATGTGGAATCTAAAAAAAAGATAAAAAGAAAAAAGAGGACACTAATGAACTCATCTACAAAACAGAAACAGACTTGCAGACGTAGTAAACACTCTCATGGTTACTGGGGGAAAGGAGGTGGGAAGGGATACATTTGAGATTTGCAATTGTTAACCGCCACATATAGAAACAGACAAAAACCAAATTTCTTCTGTATAGCACAGGGAACTGACTATCCACTGTCCTGTAATAGCCTTGAATGAAAAAGAACATGAAAACGAGTTTACGTATATACATACACTGGGACGTTATGCTGTATGCCAGAAATTGACACACTGTAACTGACTATCTGTCAATAAAAAACTTAACTGAAAATCTAAAATATATATATAATATGTATATATACAGACTTCACAGAACAGGAGATTCAGCAGGGTAAGTGGAATAGGTGTCATCACCCATGATGACAAAAAGACCATCCCATCCACTGTGCACTTTACATTTTATGGCATGTGAAGTATATTTCAATAATAAAAGGAAAGAAGAAGAAAAAAAGAGAGCCGTCCGGGTGCTGCTACATCCCAAGTGGTGCTTAAGGGCCGGGCTGTGCACAGAAGCCCAGCTCAGCACCTCTGCGAGCCCCCTTCCCTCGCGCTGCCCTTCTCCCTCCTCTGCCCACGTGGCACCACGCAACACTGCATGGATTCTGGATTTCTCACGCACCCCACTGGTCACCGGGCACAGGAAGTTCTCAATCACCCTTCCATTGATTCTGAGTACTTCCATTCTCCTCTGCCTCCTCTTCATCTTTTTAAGGGGATTTTAGGGAATTAGGGAATTTTGATTCCATGAAGCTCTGACATACTGATAAGCTCTCTGAGACACAAGAAAGAGCAGAAACATTTGTCAACTGCTAACCTGTGCTGAGGGCTATGCAGGGTCTTGAACATCTGTTGTCCTTCAGACCCTCATGAACATGGGTAAGGTCCAGATTCTTATTCCCATACTCTGGATGCAAACACCGAAGTTCTGAGAGCAGTGTCCAGTCAGACTCCCGGTAGATGTTAACCCAGTGTATCTGTTTTACCTTCGGAGGGCACAGCTTGGAAGCCCCTTACTGAGTAGGACTAATTTGAACCAAACGACACAAAGCTCATAAAAAGCGACATGGCTTGCTGGTGCACTGGAACACAGTCACACGCCACATAATCCCGCGAAGAATATTTTCCGTTCTAGGAACGTGATGTTAATCTTTGCTCTTTTAACAGCACAAAAGAGAGGAAGCCAAAAAAAAAGTTTTTTTGTTTTGCAAATGAAAATAACACACAAACCGCTCACGGGGACACCAGGCGTATCGCCACCGCGGGGGCGCCTGGGTTTGCCAGAGCAGAGGTAGCAGCTTTCCACTTTAAGCGGGTTTGCCTCTGAGCCCCATCTGCCGTCCCGCCTCCTCCCACCAGCAAAACCGAGCCAAGCTGACTCTGGATGCGTTTGCTGAGGTGAAGGAGGGAGCGCTGCAGAGTCCAGCTCTCGAGTCTGGAGTTACCTTCTGGGGAGAGTCTGGTACTTGCAATCTTCAGGATGAATGATCTCTCAGTTGTTGCAGCCATTCACCGCCGCGTGGCCGGGTGTACCACCGGAGCTCACGGGCATTCTGCCTTGGTAGACTACCACGCTTGGAGACAGACTGCCTGGGTTCGGATCCCAGCGCCACCCCTCCCTTGCTGTGTGACCTTGGCAGGTTACCCGATAACTGCCTGTCTCCTTATATATGAAATTGGGAGGGGACTAGCGCCTATCCCCCGGGGCTGTTGAGGGGGTTCAGTGATTTAATACCTGCAAAGCATTAAGAATAGTGCCTGGCGGATAGTGTGTGCTATTTAACTTCCTGTTCAATAATTAAAAAATAAAGACGTACACTGCTATTCATTAAATGACTTTAAGAAAGTGCTCTCCTCACATTATTTAGTCAACCGATTTGTGCACGCTTACATGAATCAGAATTGGTAAAAATTAACTTGCAGGACTCGACTTGTTTTGCCTAAAATCAGCCAGAAACCCAAGAAGAAAGGATCAACGAAGATCTCCTTTTGTGGGTAAATGGGTTAAAAACGATCTAGCAAAATTGACGCTATTCTCCAAAATGGCTGCGGAGCGGTGCTGCAGCTGCTCAGAAGACACACACACAGACCACTGCCCCAGGCGGACGAAGCAGGAAGAACAGAGAAATGGCTTTTGCTTTAGATCCCCGGGAATGAAGGTTCAGGCAGGACCATCAACTGCCCGCTCCCCCGAAATTCCAACAGAAGACTGGCAGGTCGCTTGGCTTTTCAAAGAGCCTCCCCCATTTCAGAGAAACCATTTAGCCCGTTCTCAATTTCATGACCTTATTTTTCTTGGAAAGAACAATGGCTGGTTTAAATGTGTAGATTTTAAACGTTTTCTTGCAAGAAGGACTTTTTTACTTTTTCACTTTCTCCCCCCAAGCATCTTATTTCAGAGGGGGGAGCCAGGGGGATGCCTTGGCTGCCCAGTGGCACCTTCCATGTGTCCACGGACTTGGAGACACCGCTGCGTCACCGTCCTGGAAGGACCCGATCACCTGGTCACGCCAGAGGGCTTCCTGTGGAAGAAGACCAAGCTTACCCAGGTAGTTGTTGCTCTTGTGCATCTCGGTGATGTTGATTTTTGTGGCTCCTTGGGGGATCTCGACCACGCGGTGGTAGCCCAGGCTGGTGAGGGCGTGCTTGAACACGCCCGACACCACCTGACAGCCCGTGTTGTCGCCGCCGCACACCCCGCACTTGTCCACGACCTTGTCGGAGCCCAGGTAGTCATCACAGCCAACGCTCTGCAAGAGGTGGAAAGCAGAAGACGCTTGTAGCACGTGTCAGGAGCACCCGGGGGAGACGGGGAAGGGGGTGACTGAAGACCTGCTGGTGGTCTCGAACCGACCTTCCTCCTGCCCCCAACTCAGCTCCTGTAGGTGGGGAAGCTCATTCTGCCCTTCGTTCAACAGGCTTTCACAGGGCACCTACTCTGGGCGAGGAACTTCTTTTCCAGGTATGCGTGAAATGCGCATTCTAGGGGCCGGGTGGGGGCCACAAATAGTAAACAGACATGGAAGTAAAACAGAGTGCACCTGCTGGTGGTAAATGATCAGAAGGAAAATAACGCAGACAAAAGGAGCAAGGAGGGTGTGGGGGGCTGGACGTTTATTTCCACAGGTTGGGCAGCGACATTGTCCCGCAAATCCATCCCACCGCTGGACTCTGAGAGAGGGGAGGCTGGACCGTGCTGGGATTTTCACACAAAGACGTCCTTTGGGACCATGATGAGCACTGCACCGCACCTAAAACTGCGGTTTGTCCTCAAGATTTCTACTCTAAATGACAGACCATGTGAAGACTTGGCCAAGCACCCCCCAAAGCAGCCATCTCAGGCCCTGTTTCTTAGGAAATGAAATCAAAGTGGTTGAGATCTGGGCCCCCACGGGTCACTGTGGCTCTGAAAAGCTGAGCAGCAGGACTGTTGCTTGGATCCTCCGAAGCCCTTTACCCAGGGCAGAGGCTACGGGGAAGCAGCGGCCAGAAACCGCAGCAAACGGGACGACGTGCTTCTGAGCAGCCGGGTGCTTTGTAGGCAGCCTCTGCAGGGTTCAGAGGAACTCTGACCTTCCTAGATTCCCTCCCCCAGAGAATCTTCTCGTTTCTCATCCCGAGATCTTCTGGCTTTATCCTCCCCCTCCCCATTCAGGTCTCTCTTAGGGCAGTTAGACCTCAGAACAGGATGAAGTGATCTTCGTGGACTCCTTCTCCCCTTCCGGGGCGGAGCCCACAGGACCCGCATCCCTGCATCCTGAGTTTGAAGACGGGGCCTGTGGTCTGAGCAGAGAAGACTCCGTCACATGTCCGTGGGCAGACAGAAGCGGACTGACTGCAGTCTGGACAAGGAAATACTGGGACCACAGGGCTGTTTCGCTGGGTTATGGGGACAGGAAATGGTACCTGAAACCCGGACGGGACTCTGAAACCTGAGACGCGTGTCTGCGGAATCACAGGCTTGTGCTGGCTCGACCGTCAGACCCCACCCTGGGGCAAAGCGGGCAGCGGGGCCATTCTTGCTTTTGTTAAGCGTCCCGGGCCTGTGCACGTGGGCCCCACAGGTCAGACCCTCCGGCAAAGTCACACCCCAGGTGCTAGTTCTACCCCGCCCCCCCCCCCCCGACTTCCCGTCTGACTGGCATCTTTCTGCAGGCCCTGCTCGCCTGCATTATTGCTTCCGCATTCCTGAGCACACGTCGGTCCATCAGTAATAACTGCGCTCTCTTCGCAGCTAGCTTCTCTGTAAAACATTATTTCTGACAAGAACAGAACATCATCTCAGTTGTTCATCCACAGCCAATTAGCCTTTCAAAAACACCATGTCTGCTGTGTCTTTCTCCTCCCCTGCTCTTGCCCCAGGCACATTTTAGCAGAAAAATAAGGCAAATGCTTTCTGCGCAGGGTTTCTATCCTCGCTGCCCCCCCGACCCCCGCTCCAGGTTCTACTTAAATTTGAAACAAAAAAAGGCCACTGCCAACAGACGTCTGGGAAAGCAGACCCCACGATGCTAAAGAAAGATTCTAACCAAATTAAGGAAGTGCTTCTGACTGCCGCTGATGAGCAAGAGGAACAGGAAAGCTGATGGCACTCACTCCCTTCCCTGTTCTGCAATCTCTCCCCTTCCTTCCTCCCCGTTGTGATCCATTTTTGCGACTCCTGGACTCACCTGGTCCCAGACTGGGCTCATTCCCTCAGGGCACTCCAGGCAAAGGGAGCAATGTGCACCCAGGCACGGAAGTAGGAGAGAACACTGAGGAAGAAGGTAAGCATCTTGCACACAGAAATGGTTGCTGGGAGGGATGGAAGGAGGCCGGAGAATCTAGCTGAATGTGTTAAGGATCTCGTTCGCCAGGGGGATGACTTAGAATTTTATCCAGTGGCAGCAGCAACCACCGGGTGTCAGAGAAGGCGAGGGCCACCCTCAGATTCGTTTTCTGGGTGATCATTTTCTGGCTGTAGTGAGGGGTGGGCCTCAGAGTGGGAGAACAGGCAGTCCCGTGAGCTTCTCCTACAGATGCGGTGGGCGGGATGTTTCAGGAGTGAACAGGAGCCTCCGACAGCGGGGATGGACATTGCCTGAGTCCGCAGCCCCCTGCCCAGTTAGAACGGGACGGTCACAAGGAAACTACAAGCCACGAATCGCTTCAGTCGAGCACAGACACAACACCATTTTCTCTTGTAAATCAGACGTTATATCAAAATCCTCCCAGATTTCCTGTAACAGCACAGCCACTCTGCATGAATCTGGTCATAGGGAGGGAGGGCTGCAAAGCAGTTTTTCCTGGGAGATGTCCAACAGCCGGGAGCTTGGCTTCAGTGAAGCACGAGGCTGCACAAGAAATGCCAAGGACCAAAGGTGACGTCCTGTCCCGCAGGCCCATCTCTGGACCCTGAGCACCCACGGTTCACTCCTAAAAAGAGAAGTCAGAGCAAGGGGTGTGTGGGCCTTCCTTGAGGGGTGACAAGAGGCTGACGGAGCACCCTTCTAGGGTTCTAGTGGCGACCCAGGGTCTCCGAGAGGCTGGGTTGCCGTGGAGCTGCTAAACGTCCCGCATGCAGTGACAAAGCAGGAGGGACGACCCCAGAATGAGAACCGTGCACATGACATGAATTCAAGAACTTTGTTTTCAGCACCGAGGTCGCAGGCGGATCACATGTGTGACAGCTGTCCCTCTTCCTGCGTAGGCTGTTATGAGCCTCAGATGACAAGGAGGGAACCTTCGCACTGGGTGTGCGCAGCTGAGGGAGTGCTCTTCGGGCTAGACTCTGAAGGACAAGAAGGAGCAGCTGTGACAAGATCCAAACATGTAAACATGCATTTCATCACTGGCCTCGCTGAGGGACTGCGCCGGGCGGGCCACCTGGGAGGCTCCAGGCTGAAGCAGACACAGGTCCTGCCTGCGGGAATCTGATTCTAACCGGGGCGTTGAGACATCCGTGCAGAAAGTCACACACTCTTGGACAATGAGGAGTCCCTGCCTCCTCCCCTAAGTCAAGCTGAGCAGATCAACTCTCTTGTAGAAAGTGGATAATTAACAATGGGGTGTGTAAGTCTGGAGAAGGTGGTAACGTCCCAGCCTGAACTGGGGGTGTGGTGGGAGGATGACGAGGAGCTGAGAGATGCCTGGGAAGCAAAGGGTGGGGGGAGCTCGAATCACCGTCCTCCTCCTCTTCCTGCCCCCCGCCCTCCTCACACCACCAGACCTAATGTTTACAGAATCTCTGTCATATTCCAGGCCCCCTGAATATGCAGTTTTCTCATTTAATCTTAAAAGCAACCTGTGCTATTGCTGAGAAACTAGGAAACTAAGACTTAAGAGAGGTTAGCTAACTGGCCCACGGCCAAGCTGCTACTAAGGAGGACTGGACTTGAACCCAAATCCCATGCCTTTAATCCCAGGCAAAAACTGCCCCCTCCAGGGGACCGGAGGTCGTGCTGAGGGAGCTGGCCCTGTCAGAGGAGTGGATGGTGGCGGTGACCTGGGTGCAGAGGAGCAAGCTCAAGGCGCTGTTGTCATAGCTTAGCCAACAAGTGACCGCATCCTCCCCTCCCAACACGACGAAGCCCCAAGCACGTTACGTGTCTCTCCCGCACTGACGGGTTTAACACTCCACACACAGGAAGTGGGTCAATATTTTAGCTCATCTTCCCTTCATATTACTAAGAAAGTAATTGTTGCAACTTTTATTTTGCACTAGTTTAAGACTCACAAGAAATTCCAGAAACAGTATCGAGCGTTTCAGTGACCCATCAGCCAGCCTCCCCCAGCGACAGTCTCTCTCACGAGCGCAGCACGTTGCCAAGACCGCGTATGCCACGGACATCGGCATAACTAACGTAGTAACTCAAGAGTGACCCGTATTTGGATTTTGCATTTTTTACATGAACAAAATTTCACCACGTGTCTAGATTCATGTCCTATGTTACTTTCTTTGCAGCAGCTGGGATTCTCCTCCGAAAGGAGACCGTGTAATTGATAAGCTGAGCTGACGTCATTTAGCGGGAAAAGCAGGTAAGATTGATGGAAAGAATGTTGCACTGGGAATCCGGAAACCTGGAACATCGTCCTGGCTCAGCCCCTGACTTCTATGTGATGCTGGATGAGTCATTTCTCTCTGGGCTTGGCGCTGAAAACACTTTCACCACCATCCAGATCTTTCAGGGGACGACGCTCAGAAATGGATCTGGCCCGAATTCTGGTTTGCATACCAGAAGTCTGGTCTATGTCTCTAAACCCTTCAGAGGTACCACCAAAGTGCCATCAGTGGAGTCTGCTGGACCTGGGTCTTGTGCTGGCTTTGCCACTTTGGAGCGCTGCATCACCGGACATGCTAATTAGCCATTCTGAGCCTCAGTTTACCTACAGCTGGGGTGGCACAGTATCGACCCCATAGTGCCGCTGGAAGAATGAGAGGAGGTACACAGGGAAGGCACTTAGCAGGACGCCGCGGTTGGGCGGCTTCTCAGAAAACACTGGGCTTGTCCTTGTCTTCACAGAGCTGGTTTCATCTGGAATCTACCCACTTAATCCATCTATGACCCGCCACCGTGTAAGCTCTCGGACCCATCCTGCTTCTGCAGCATTTACTTTCACTTCTCAGTCACAGACACTCTCTTCTGCGTTTGGAGAAATTCAGGAAAGTCTGAAGAGCTAAGGCAAGGCCAAGTTCCCCTCGAAGGAAAACCCCTGGCACAGCTCCTTCACCCGCGCTGCTCCCGGAACGTGCCGGGTGCCAAAGGACAAA